ACCCCGGTAGGGTTGACACGAAGGGGTTTGAAAACCCCTGAGGGGGGCACGGCCGCAGGGCTCGGTGCTTCTCAGCGCCGTGCCCAAGCCTCCCTCCCTCAGGGGGTGTTTCTGTCCAGGCTGCAGGGCTGTGCTCCCCCAAAACCTCACAGGGCATTCCATCATTTTAAGACCACGATGAGCGCTCATATCTAAAGCAGTTTAAAAATATTACAAATCTAAAAAAATAAAGACTGGGAAGGTAACATGGCTCTAAAACATCACTGCGTGGAATCAGCAGAAACCTACGCCCTACCAGACGCCACCGAGGTTCACACAAACAAACGTATTTACAGATAAATATCGAAGAATTTCCAACAAACGTCACTAACAAAACGAAACTGGCGTTGAACGGGTGCGATGCCCCTTCACTCACGTCAAGTGAAGCGTACAACGGGTTGTACTACAGTGCGTTGGGGATCTCCCCACCCCCGGGGCGGACGGGGCACCGGGTCCAGCACCACCTCCTCCTCCTCGTCCTCCTCCTCCAGCAGCTCTGCGGCGGCAGGAGGGCCAGGAGGGACCTGAGCGCGCTCTGCGGCGAGGCAGCAGCTTTCCCGAAGCCACGAGGGCTCTCCACGCAACCCAGCTCGGGAATAAAGCCAGTGGTCCCCAACGCCAGCCAGCAAAGCTCTCCAGATCGGGTTCTCCTCGATATTCCTCCTCCTCAGGAGGAGCGACAAGCGCTAAGGAAATCGGCGCTGAAGAGGTTCACGAGCTGGATGGAGGTGGACGAACGACTGAAACAGAGGGCTCAGGCGACATGTAAAAAAAAATCGTAACAAGACTTTTAAACAACAAAACAACAACAAAACAAAGATCAAAGCTCGAGTTCTCGCTCTGGCAGCACGCTGACCAGCGCTCCGCAGCGCTCGGGTTTAACGCTGGAAGGAAACATTCCGCACGTGAGCCGGGGAAGGGGCTGCAGCGCCTGCGACGCGGCGCTACGGCGGCTCTGGCGGGGACGCTGCAGCTCCCCCCACCCGAGCTCAGAGCGACCTTCTGCACCAGATTTTTAACCGTTCTTTCCAACAGGACTTTTGCCTTTCCTAGGATTCAGCTGGGGTGTGTTGAAGCGCAACTCCTGTTAGAGCCCGGGGCGCTCTTGCACCTTCCCTCCCAGGGCAGAAGAAAGGCGGGCACTAACCGACTTCTCTCCCGATGACACAAGGTTTGTTTTACAGAAGCAACGTTTAAACGGCTTTTTACCCAGTTCAACGACACTGACACACAATACTCTTAAATTCAGAGATTAGAGAGCAACATGGGCAAACTTAAAACAGTTCCAAAACCCATGAATATTCATTTTGAAATCACATTTTCCTCTCATTCCCTGCAACTGGAGTCTCCGAGTAGTTTCCCTTGGAGCATCCACCACCACCCAGCAGTCTCGCTCACTCACTCCTCGCACACCACCCAGCCCCAGCTGCACGGAAAGCAGCCCCCTCCGGCTCAGGCCTTGCTACGCCGAGAGCTAAACCAGCAAATTCACCCTGGACGTCACCTCATCCCGCGCGGAGCCCGGGTAACGCCATCGCCCCCAAGCCTCGCTCGCTGCCCGCGTCTGGGTCCCGATGTCGGGGCCAGAACACGCCTCCCCGGCGCCACAACCCCCTGCCAGCCCAGAGGCGTTCAGAATTATCCCAAATGAACACCGACGACCAGCCCCCAGCATCGGGGGCCGCAGCTGCTCCGCAGGGGAGACCGGAACCACCGGGTTTGTGTCACCCAGGGAGGTGCACACGGGGTCACAGCACGTACCCAGGTACAGCACCCAGGGAAACAGCCTCTTCCTCACCGCGCCGAGTCGCTCTGATCAACCACGCTCATTTACAAAGCCAAAACCCCCCCCTAACGCTTTCAAGAAGGTAATTTGCACAGAGAAGGGCAATTTCAACCAGTGAGTTTTCCGGCAGAAAGCCTGCAGACATTCAAGCGTGTTCCAGCGTGCAATTCAGCATCCAGGACAGGCTTCAGGCAAGATCTACACGGACAGCCAATGCGATGTTATTTCTTTTTTTTTAAGCCTAAAAACCAGCTTTTCATTCCAAGGGGTCAAACAAAGACTTTAATTAAAGAAGGACCTCAAGCCAAATCATGCACGACTGTCCTTCAGGCCACCCAAGAGCGTTTTCCAGACAGAAAAAGCTCACAGGCTCTTCCAGTAAACCACCGAGTCTCAGGTCCACAAGGACTATGACAAGGGAGAAGCCGGTCAGTCACAACCCCTGCTGGATTTCTGGGACCTGCTGTTGCACCACAAAGCACGCGGGTTTGCACCAAGCTCACGTGCAGGTACCAACAGCTACAGGAAACTCCAATTTTGCAAACACCCCTCACTCGGCACCGGGACCGCGTGAAGCACCGTTTCTTCTACCCAGCACCTTTAACACGGTTCCACGGCAGATTTTACGTGCCCCGTTGCTTTCGGCTCGCGCAAAGACAGCGGGAGGACATCCCCAGCACGATTCTCTGGCAGGACAGTCCCCTTCCTCCTCCTCGGGTTTCTTACAGACCAAGGGCTTTACCCCGGCCTGGAGCGGGTGACGGAGCAGCAAAGGCCGGGCGCAAGGCTGTGAACAGCCCCTCACCAGAAAGGGGTGAGAAATGAAAAGGGGAGCCGGGGGGCGGTGCAGAGGGCACCAGAGGCATTGTGATATAAAGCCGTAAAGATCAAAATTAAAGAGGCCGTAATCAACGGCTAAAGGGGCCAAGTGTAGGTTCTCTGGTAGGTCCTGACTCTGTATCATCTGCAGCAGGATTATCAACAACAAAATACATCAGCGATTCAGCAGCTGCCTAAAATGCTTCTTTAACGGTTAAATCTCAATAAACCGTGGTTTCTAGAGCAGTATTCAAACATGATTTGGTTTCAAAACAGTACAGGAAACCTTTCAAGAAAAACACTGGTGTAAACGAATCTAAATGCAAGACACTGTGCAAAGCATACAACATAAACACAAAGAAAAGCGTTTTGTTCTTAAAAATCCATTGAAGTATTCCACAAAGACGCTCATGAGAAAATTAAAGGGCTTAATGCATTATAAAAGCTTTAACAAAAAGACACATAATACCCCATTGCTCTATTAAAATCTCAAATTCTTAGAACAGATTTTAAAACCCAATTTTTAAAAAGCATTAACGCTGTTGCCTACCGCCTGCCTCTCCCTCCCTCGCTCAGCGAAAACCGACTGACCGTTTCACTTTAAGATTCCCACCTGCCCCACAAAAAGCTGCGCTATTTGGTCTTTAGCATTTCAGGAAAACGACAGAACTCAAACCAAAACAGAATTGTGCTTGAAGTTAAAATCCCGCCGCCACCAGCCGAGCCCGTTCACAGTCGGGGTTTGCGGCAAACTACCGTCTGCGGTTGCACTGTCACCGAAGATCGCCTGACACGTCAAGAGCTGCTCACCAATTTACTGTTCAAGGATCGGAAACTCTCCCTTTTTATTCTTCAAGGTAGATTTATTGGAGCTGAAAACCAGCATTAAAGAGAACTCCAGCTCTGCAGGACTGGCATTTTTTGGTTCTTGGCTTTGTAAACTTGCTTAGGTAACAACGCGGGAGGAGAAGGAGCAGTAAAAGAGTCGCTTTGTTGCACTCAAATGGAACTCATGAACTTCTAAAGGTCTTCGACAGCTCAGCTGTACGGAAGAATGGTGGCTTCTGTGAAACTTTTTAAACCTCAAGTTTGGGCCAGTACCACTGCTTAAAATGCAGAATGTCTCCATCACACTTATATCGTGACAACTCAATACATCACACCACGGACATTTAACGTAACTCCACACATGCTATAAAAAAAAAAATAAAACAGGGGGGAAAAAAAAAGAAAGGAAACAAATAAGACCGTAGCTAAACTGCTTTAAATACTGCATGCTACAGCACTTCACGTATCGTCAAGATACGACACTGAAAGGTGACGGAAGGCTGAAGGGATTACAAAATCTTTTCGGCAGGTTGGAAAGCTGCCTTCTTACTGTGGCAGAATTATTCCCCCTCCCCATTCTCTACTTCTAATGTTCATGATTCTAGTGTTGAGTTGGCCATGTATTTTTTTTTTTTTTTTATCCATTCTAATTACAGTGTTTCCTTAACTTAATTAAATCCGTCAGTGTGGTAGCTGGGGTGAGAGTCAGCTGTGAGCTGGGTCGTCTCTGTGGCTGATGCTGGCTGTATCACAATAGGTGCGTCTGAGGCCTCTGAAAAGCAAAGACAGAAGGTTTATTAGCACAGCAAGGGAAAACCAGCACCGTATGTTCTGGCAAGAGCCAGTTCCACCTCCCTACAACGCTGATAACAGGGGTTTACGCTCCTCTCAGAGCACCACGATACCTCACTGGTATTCAGCCTGCACCCAACGCCCTTCCACTCAAGCCCACAGGCGGAGCAGTTGATGTATTCCCTCCTTCACCTAACAGCAGCTGAGCCTCGCCCACCATTCCGCCCCTCCCCTTAGAACCACGACCAACAAGGCTCTACAGTTTCTTAAAGGACCGGTTTAACCCCCCAGCAACCGCATTCCACCGTCACAGGCAGCCTCAGGCAGGGCTCGCAGGGCAGCGGGCCCATCTCCGTTACGCCTGCTGCAGTTACAGCTGCCTTGACACCCCCCAGCCCCTTTCTTACACCCATACGCGTCTGGCTGGTACGTTCCTCCAGTGACGCAGTCAGTGACGGTCACCGCTCGCTGCTCTGAAGCCGACCCCACCGAGGGCAGTGAAAACCTTCTGGGAGTTCCCAGCAGCTATGACCTGCGTCACCCACGTGGCTCTTGTGCCACAAGTGTCCCCTCGGCACCACCCACAGCCCGAGACCCGGGCCGATCTCTACCAAGCCAGCGCTGCTCCTCAGCCGGCACGGGAAGCGCTCGCTCAGAGGCTGCCGGTCGGGCTCGCAATCCCCCGGCGTTTTCACCTACCCCTTTCATCTGACTGCAACTGTGCCTCCAAGTCCTCTGGAGAGACGTAGTATTCCTGCTCTTCACCTTCAGGAGGTTTGGGTTTACACTTCCCACAGCAACAGTTACAGCAGCAGCACAGACAGCAACAGCAATAGCAGCCTGTGATGAGCCCGCAGAACACAAACAAGGCCTGCAGAGGACAGAAGACAAAGATTCACGGCCTGTGCCTACCACAGCGTGACCACCGAGTCTGCGAGACTGGAAACCAGAGACCAAAACCACAGCAACGCAGAGACAGAACTCACTAGTTCAGTTTTACACTTCATCACCGAGATACGTTTGAGAGTATGTGCAAAACCGGCTACGGCGCTCAGTATTTTACACCGAGGTGAACGCTCCCACCCTGGTTCACTTGGAGAATTCCTACAGTTGAGGTTTAAGTGGACTGTTCCCCACATCTGGGAGAACACACACAGGTCTGAGAAGCGTATCTGTATTAAACCCCAGAGGTACAACAGTTTAGCGCAGGTTGTAGCTCGCACAAACAACCCTGATGCCAGCGAGGTGACGCTCGAGTGGTGACATCCCGACAGCAGGGACCTCGGGCTCCCCACGGCTGCCGAGCTCACCCCACCGACGCCTCGGGGCGCTGAGGTGAGACGCTACCAGCGCATGAGCAAGGCAGCTCCAAGCCAGCCAAGCCTGCCGGCGCTCCCCACTGCGAGAAGGGGCAAAACTGAAACCGTCGTGTCGGTCACTGTGCAATTGTTCGACAAAATAACTCTAAAGGTGGCAAACCAGCACGGGGATATTCCTGTTTTCTCCCTGCAGGGGAATCAAGAGATGGAAACGAAGCCGTGAAATGAAATGCCAAGTCTAGGAAAAGGTTTCCATCGGCCATAAAGCACCGTGAACGATGCCGGGTCACGCTGGTGCAGCCGTGGTTTCATCCTGCAGCCGCGCTGTCTTTTACTTACCGGTCCCTGGGCGAGCAGCCTGCAATCGTGCCACTCCCAAAATGCAAAAGCCTGGACAGTTTCACTATGAGAAATGGGCAACGTGCAACCTACAGGTTGGTTTTTGCACTTTTGAGTAAACGTGGTGAGTTTAAAACGCCTTACTTAAAAAAGACAGCAGCCTATTGCACTCCAAAATAACTCCGAGCAGTGAAACACAGTAATTCCTTGGTTCTGGCAGAAGACTCCTAGAAGGTGCCTACACAGCAATCGGAACACCCGCTGCTTCCAGAGAGCTTCTGCAGGCACGGGGGAGGAGACGGGAGCTCGCAGTGTCATCTCTGCACACTGCTGACACGCTCCTGCTGCAGGAGGAACGAGGGTGGGCGAGGGAACGAATAACCTGGCGGCCCTCGAGTCAGAGAAGAGCTGAAGGAGGGACACCCGTTCAGGGCAGCCTCCGGGCGAGTGTGGAAGCATCCTTCTGAACAGGGTCTCCTGTGCGAGCTCAGGGTCGCAGTCAGGGCTCGTTTTGCAAAGTCACCCAGCAGGTAAGACCGAGAGCACCCCCCGAACCCGCATCCCTTTTAAATCCACTGGAAGGGTCCAGGCTCCTCCCAGTAACATAAGCCTTGCTTATTAGGCCTGTACCACTGACAGACAATAGAAAAAAAACCTCCTGAACTAGAGACTGCGACACAGTAAGAGAAGGTTAATGACCAGGTCTCAGAAACCCAGCAATTTCCCAAAAGTAAACCCAAAACACAACTATCCGATGGAGCTCTTTCAGAGTTTTAAATGCCAATCCGGAACAACTTCTCTTTGCACTTCCATTTACCTTTGCCCACCAGCTGGATAGCACGAAGTACGTGTTCACATTTTCCTCACCAAACTGCTCCGCTACGTACAGACCCAGCGAGCCGTACTTGTCATAAATGTTTCGCTTTGTGGCGTCGGTCAATATTGCGTGTGCATTATTGATCTCTTTAAATTTTTCTGCTGCCTCTGGATTATCAGGGTTTTTATCAGGATGATATTTCAATGCCAGTTTCCTGCAGAAAGGAAAAAAAAGAGATTGTTATAGATTAAAACCCTGGGATCTGGGTTCCTGGTTTTTGACTTTTTTTTTAATTTTATTTTTTTTATTCCATAGCCTGTCACGTAAGGGAGACTTTCAAGTTCCAAGTGGTTTCCTTCATCTGTGATTCAACTTCCCTGATGATTCTTTCTTAGATGATAACAAAAGGCTACAGCAGTGTTTAGCTCAGTTCACAAGATTGACTTCAGACCGTTGCATTTGGCCCCCAGAAATCCAATGGAGAAAAAAAGAGACATTGAAGAAAAATAGTACTCTTTATTTTTTTTACCCCTCAGCTCCAGCAATTTCCACCAGGAAGTTTTGCTCCTGCTAAAGCAAAGACCAAGCTAACAGAAAAAAAGACACACACCACCAGCCTAAGATATAGCACCAAAGAATAAAGAAAAGGAAGCTGCCACAGCTACTCTGCAGCGTCCGAACTCAAAAATAGAATAGACAATCACTCGTGGTTAATTCACCAATTCCTGTGCGGGAACAAAGCCCTTCTCAGTTCAAGGCTTGCTCGAATAGAAAAAGCTTCAGAGTTTCGAGATATCAGGAAATTGTAACGTACCTCCTTCCCTAACCATGCCAGAGCTCTTGCAGCTGAACGACAGCAGCGTACAGGTCTCGAACACAGCACCAAAAAAATCAGATTAAGCATTGACAAATTTGCTAGTGCTGACACAGCCCAGGCTATTTATGGAAATCAGTAGAAATAACTGGCCAAATTCCTCCTCATAGACAGAAAAAACGCTGTTTTGCCATTTGTGCTCCCAAGTAGAAAAATGATAAGAGTTGTCTGCCAACAACATACAACAGGTCTCCTCCACCTATAAAGGTACTTGTCCTCCTACAGAAAATTACCACAGAGTCCCACATTTGAGAAATACGCCAGAAGCCTGCAGATGTTTGCACAGAAACTTTGCAGTGAGAAATATCTGAACAAACATAAAATAAAGATTCGTGCAAGCACGCATTTGGGCATGCAAATATATCACAGCGTTCAAGGAGTAAGTTGAGTGTGCACTTGAAACACTCGGACTGTAAATGATGCTGCTCGGGTAAACACCGCCCAGCGCTGCCACTAGCGCCGTAGCCTCAGTGAGGACTGAAATAATCTCAGTTTTTGTAGTTAGAGGGAACTTATACAAAGTTATAGAAACCTGGAAAGGACTTAGCTACCATCAGGCTGCAACAGGTAAGTGGTTTTCATTTCCCATTTCCTACACTTTTTATACAAACCCCACAGGCCAGCAACGGATGCTCAGATGGAATGAAAACAAGGGGTGTCTGTCCTCCTTTTGTAAAGCGGTGGCAGAGGAAACAAGGTTAGATGCAGGTTGGGGTAAGCATGAAGCAGCTACATGTCACCCCAAGGCCTAGTCGGGTCGTTCCTCCACAAGAAAAAACATTCCATTTTTTTTTCCCCAAGAAGGTAAAACTATTTTCCAGTTGCTAAGGCTCAAAGATTACCGATTCAAACTTCCACTTAGAGGAAGACACAGCTAATTTTTGAGAATCTGTGGACCCGCTTTACTCATAGACTTCACCGTGTAGACGCCATCAGTGTTAAAATGCACCTCTGAAAGGGAAAAAGTTTTGGTAAATGTTAAAAGACTAAAAGAAAAGAACTTTGAAGAAGAGTATCCTCATGTAAGGATGACTGCTGACCCCTAGTGTGATGTTAAACACACTGCCACTTGTCAAACAGCCTGCGAGACCGCAGCTCATGCTGAAGGTGAGGAGGAAGCAATTGCATTTAAGCAGATTTGGGGGGAATGTGGAAAGCAAGGATGTTACAGGACTTTTTTTGTTGGTGGTGGTTTTATTCGGTCAAGATGAAGCCATTTCATGTGTCTAACTCTTTAAGAAATGAAGAAAACCCCCCTCCTTTAAAACAGGAACCCCACATAGAACAAGAAATTTTGTATGCAATTTTAGAAAATAAATAAAATAATTAAAAAAAAAAAAATCACTGCTGATACTCAGTTTTCATCCTTATTTGCATCTTCAATCTACACCTCACCGTGCCAGAGTTGGAAGGGATGGACAAGAGGGCTGTACTGTGATCCCTGCAAGCCAGACGCTGACATGAAGAATTTAACTCCCACCACGCTGCCCCAAAACTCTGCTCAACTCTCACTAAAGACCTCTCAGAATGATACCACGTATTTGAGAACCGAACCGACTCGAGAGAAGATGCAAAGAGTTAACAGCATCCATAGACAAAGCCGAGGCAAGTTTTCACACCAATTTTTGCAAGAAACCACCATGTTTTCACCTGGTTTTCTTACGTGTTTTTCCTGCAAAAGGTTTAAATAAACCAACTCGAGCTGTATTTATATATATACTTATACAGGATATAAACAGGCCACCTGTTGAACACTTAATTAAAGCTCTTTGTGCTACTGGGCAACGGGCGTAAAACTTGAACCTTCACCTGTATGACTTTTTGATATCATCTGAAGTGGCGTTCTTGTCCAAGCCCAGCACGTGGTACAACGACTCTCCAGAGGTAGAGAGCGAACGTTGCCTCTGGTCTGCCATCTCGAACTAACCTGAAGAGAGAACTGGTCCCTGCCAAAAAAAAAAAAAAAATATTAGGAAATGCTTCAACAAATAAGAACGCAGACCTCATTAATCAAATCGTCCTGAAAACCAGAGTTTGTGCATGAAAATTTATCTTTTATAAGGTTTAACGTGCTTTGGAAAAAAAAGAGGCTCTTAACATACGTGGAAGTTAAAAAGTTACAAAACTCAGTGAATTACCAATGAAAACAACTATTGCATTTTCAGCACAACACCAGGCACCCCAGAATCACAACTGGATATGCTCAACTCTTCTGTCCAAAACCCCAAACCAACAGCTGAGGGATAGCTACAGAGACGTACCACGCCACACATCCCTAAAGCTACATCATCTTCTTTCTTAGCCTTTTAATATTAAGCTAATTTGTGATAACAGCTCTGAAACCCAACATCATCTTCTTCACGCCGAGGCAGGCTGCCTTTTTGCACCACACTTGCATAAGTGATTTCATTTCCATTTTCAACTGCAGACACTCTGTTAGATTAAAAAATCCAACCAACCAACACACCAAATCTCCACGCCCCTACCAAAACCCCAGCCTCCCATCGCAGCACGGACACCAGGCTGAGCAGAATCCTTTGGACAAACCCAGTCTGACCAGGCCTGCGCATCCCACTGAGAAGAGGGAACGCTGCCCGCTCAGAGAGGAGGAGATCTCCTCTCTTGTAATCTGAGGTCACGGATCAAACATTCAACAAGTACTCTAGCTGAAATCACACCACTTGAACGTGGATTAACCTCCTGCTCCAAATTCAAAGGGGGAAGACCCCCGAGGCCTCCCCTGTGCCACGCCGCGCACGGACTGGGTTGTGCCCGCCAACACCCTGAGGGGATTAGCGTTTGCCATTCTTCAGCTGCGGAACCGCAGCACGGATGAGCATCGACGAGAAGACTATTGGCTATTTTTGGATTATGTCATTACAGTTAGCCTACACCAGATTATGTAGCCTTTGAAAAAGATATTTAAAGCACCAGACTTTTCTAATTTAACCCTTTATCTTATATAACAAAGTTAATAACTTCAGCTTTTAAAAGGCTACCTGGAAGAAATACTCTCAGACATCACCCCTTGCCCTGCCTGGTTCTTGGTCTGACCTCACGGTGCTGACATCTCCACAAACCCCACGGTTCTGTCGGTACCACACAGGGGTATCGTCACGCCGGTAGAAGCGTGACGAGGCGGCAAGGACGTGGCTACGGACACAACTTCCCTGTTGACCTCAGAGCCCACTGTTAACTACTCTTCCGCCTGTGGCCTCTCCAACTTTACATCAGCTGAGCCCTGGGCACTGTGTCCGGTTTCTTTGACTGGAAGACAGCAGCTGCACTAGGAAACTCTCATTTGATTTCCTTCAAGTTGTCACGGGCAGCTCTGGTAAGTTTAATTAAAGGCTACCTAATAAGGAAGCTATAAATTAACAGCAACAATAATAAAAATCTAAACCCTAACAGTCTGGCTAAGAATTCAAAACACACTCCAAATCTGGAAGGCGAGTACGTGGGTAGGGAGAGAAAAACTTTGCTTTTAAAGGGTGCTGTTCAGCTACCAAAAGGTTTCTGCGTGAGAGGAAAAAAATTAGAGCGCTGCAAGACACAATACAACCGTTTTGGCCCAACGTAATGCAGCAAAAAGAAAAAAAAAAAAAAAAACATTAGAATTCAGGAAAGAAACCCCACCCGCAGGAATACACCAGGCACAACCCCACGGGACAGCCCTTTCCCAGCCGCAGCCTCCCAGCCCCCTCCGCCCAGGCGGTCAAAGACCGCGGATCCTGACGTCCGCCCGGTAATCTAGCTAATCGCCCGGGCCTGCTCCGACCGCTGCCCCGCTCCCCCGCCCAGCTCCTCCCGCTCTCCCACCACCGCCGCTCCCTCGCAGCCCTCCCGGGACGCTCTCCGTCCCGCAGCTCCCACCCCTCCGCAGCAGCCGGCCGAGGGGAGCGGGTCCGTCGCCGTTGCTCTGCGGCAGGGACCCGGGGGATCGCTCGGCAGCCGGGGGTAGGAAGCGCCCTGGCGGAGCTTGCGCACCTTCGCTCGGCTCTTCCAAAGGGATCGCTTCAAACTTGACGTGCCCAAACTCGAGGGCGTTACGGCCACGGGTGTTCTTTGAAGCCTGTAGCTCTATTTCAGCACAACGAGCTTCCTTTCACACCAACCCAACAGGCCCTCGGTGCGCCGATGCTGCAGATCACAGGTACACACTATGTTCTGCTGAATCAAATCCCCACTGTTAAATCAGGACCAATTTGTTTAATAAAAATTAATTCAATCCGATGCAGGCGATGCCTATCGGTCTGCCTGCCAAGAATAAAGACAGGCAAAGGAATAAAATTCCACGCTGCCGTGAACTTTAATCGCTTCCATCTGAACAGCTCAGGGTAGCTGGAGCTGGGTCTAATGGGGTGTCTGGTTTTCAAAACCGGTAAGAAATGGCAGAACAGCGGAGGACAAGGTGGTAATGGGAATTCATCTGGGAAGCTTGTTATTTAAGGGAACAGAAGAGTATTATTGCTAGGAACGCAACCCTTGACTTTCTGAATAGGAAACAGACAATCAAGGTGCCAGTTGTTTAAGTTCAGAGCTCTTCATAAACCAGGATATTCTCTATCCTACTGTTTTTACAAGTGGCTCTAATTCACAGTAGTGAAAGCTGCTCTGTATTTTTAAAAAGTGTGGTGTTCAGCAGCAACAAGCCATCTGCTACGCAGGATGCCCCGAAGAGGTTTCTCTCAGAAGGCTCTGAAGAAAGGTAATCCCCTGGATTAAACAGCACAGTTTTTAACCATCTGTGTACCACAATATCCGGTGTTAGTCAGCTTTACCAGAAAACGCAACCGTTTTC